TGCGAACGCTGCCACTGGCGCCTGCGGTGGAGCTCCCTATGGAGCCACGATCCTCGTGAGGGGTGCGCCGAGATAGGGCGGGGCCGCCATGCGAACGCTGCCACGGGGGCCTTCGGTGGAGCTCCCTATGGGGCCACGATCCTCGTGAGGGGTGCGCCAAAATGGGGCGGGGCCCACATGCGAAGGCAGCCACTGGGGCCTTCGGTGGAGCTCCGTATGGGGCCACGATCCTCGTGAGGGGTGCGCCGAGATAGGGCGGGGCCGCCATGCGAACGCTGCCACGGGGGCCTTCGGTGGAGCTCCCTATGGGGCCACGATCCTCGTGAGGGGTCCGCCAAAATGGGGCGGGGCCCACATGCGAACGCAGCCACTGGGGCCTTCGGTGGAGCTCCCTATGGGGCCACGATCCTCGTGAGGGGTGTGCCGAAATGGGGCGGGGCCCACATGCGAACGCTGCCACGGGGGCCTTCGGTGGAGCTCCCTATGGGGCCACGATCCTCGTGAGGGGTGCGCCAAAATGGGGCGGGGCCACCATGCGAACGCTGCCACTGGCGCCTGAGGTGGAGCTCCCTATGGAGCCACGAAGCGCTGCACTGGGTGGGTGAAACGCAGGGAGGAGGGGGGAGGAGGAGGAGAGGAGGAGAGGAGACGCGGGCCACCGTCTCTTCAAAACGAGGACCCAACACCACAGGATGGTTGGGAATGACGGCCCCTGCTGGGCGATCGCATGCCGGGCAGCTCGCCGCGAGTGCAACAGGTGCGGCAGGGTAGGCTCTGGCGCTCGCGCGGGTGGGGCGGCGGCCGCGAAGCCCCCGCCTGGAACTCGATCGCCTCGCGCCACTCCGCTGCCTGTGCCTCGAGGGCGGCGCGGAAGTCTTTTGGTGAGATCGGTTGTGAGATCGATCATGAGATCGATCATGAGGTCGTGAGGTCGATCGTGAGATCGATTGAGTAGACGTTGGTTCCTGTCCCCCGAACCTCCTTATCACCCGAAGGGTGGTCTTCCTCAGCACCCGGAGGGTGTATGTATATGGGCTCGAGTCAAGCGCTAACTCCGATACGCGCTCGGCGCAGGAGGCGAGCGAGGGCCGAAAGGGGGCCCGAAAAGACGAACGAGCGAGTGCCGCAGACGACACACGGCGGAGGGACAAGGACCAAGCGAAGAACACAGAGAGTGGGGGACGGGATAGGGGGGATGGGCAAGCTAGGTGCGCTCGCGCCATATCTGACGTCCTACCCTTTCCTCCTATCCCTTTCCATTGCGTAGATCTCCTCTTTCTTCGCGCAATCGGATGCCGAACAGGGCAATGGTGCCGGGGGAGTACGCGATGCATGGAATACCACTGCGTAGCATGGCAGAACATAGCACGGTTACAGCTCGGCCACAATATGGTCAGTGGGACACCAACGACCACACAGGGCGGGACATGCAAATGGACGGTTTGGAAAGCAGGAAGCGCAACATGAGATCAACGTTGCGTCGGGAAGCCGATTTCGAAGGACCGAAAACGCGGGAATGGGAGCACGATCTGACAACGACTGGAAGCGAGGCACCGACGCCAACGCTGCAGCAAGATCACGACGTGTAATAACCGAGACAATGAAATGAGGTCAACGCTGTCATGGGCATATGCTTTTGAAGGGCTGAGAACGGGAAAATGGAGCCACCGCTGTAGCGGGATCGCCATCCTGAAATGACTGATCACGTCCGGATGGTAAACTTACGTGTTACTTCTCAACTCGGCGGCGTCCTGTGTACAAGCGCAATCTGCGGAGTAGGCCAGGGTACCTTACCGACGTCTTCGGGGGAAAGGGGGAAGTAGTATTCCGATTGTGTAACTTTGGAAGAGGAGCAAGGAACTTCTCTGGCTGGAAGCTGGAGGACTGTCTTGGGAAGGTCCCGCGGTGCTCCTTGTGCCCGCGGGGCGAACGTGGTTCCTCAGCGAATCCCCTCCTGCCCACGTGGCAGAACGTTTCGTGGCCGACCTGGCCAAACAAGTGCTCGGGCGTCTTTTATACTAAATGTCTGCAAGGGTGTGCCCCCCCCCTGCAACCAAGACCTGCCTTCCAGAGGCCTAAGGCTACCGCTAATGAAGCGGGTGGCAAGAGCCCCACGGCCAGTGAAGGAACACTTTACAAGCAACACGTTTCAGGGCCTTTGCCCACGGGCTCCGCTCTGAGGCGGTGGGGTTACGATCTATTACTCGACTGTCCTTCGTGCAGGGGGGGATGACGACTCTGTGTGGCGCAGAGTTTGGAAGTGCCACCACCAAGATGCCGCCCAAAGGGGAGCAGAGCATTTTGGGAATGACATCATCCAGCAGGCACCGTCGAGTGGAGAGACATGTCTTCTTTCCCTACAGCATGGCTCGCGTGTCCCGATCTGCCTGCCCCTGCCGAGGGCTGCGACCTATTTCCCGGCAATCATGTGGTTTTGGGTCCTCGTTTTGAAGAGACGGTCTCTCATCATCATCATTATCATCATCATCATTACCATTACCATCATCATCACCATCATCATCATCATAATCATCAGCATCATCATCATCATCAAAACCATCATCATCATCATCATCATCACCATCACCATCACCATCACCATCATCATCATCATCATCATCATCATCATCATCAGCATCAAAACCATCATCATCATCACCATCACCATCACCATCACCATCACCATCACCATCATCATCATCATCATCATCATCATCATCATCATCATCATCACCATCATGGCCCAAGTACCAGCGTTCGCATGCGGTCACCGCACCCATTTTGGCACACCCCTCACACGTTTCGCGGTTTTACAGGGAGCTCCAACCGAGGGCCCAAGTGCCAGCGTTCGCACGCGGCCACCGCACCCATTTTGGCACAACCCTCACACGCTTCGTGGCCCCACAAGGAATCCCACCGAAAGCCCAAATGCCAACGTTCGAATACGGCCAACGCACCTATTTTGGCACACCCCTCACACGTTTCGTGGCCCCACAGAGAGCCCCACGGAAGGTCCAAATGCTAGCGTTCGCATGCGCCCACCGCACCCATTTTGGCACAACCCTCGCACGACTGGTGGCACGATACGGAGCTCCTCCGAATGAGGTGCTAAAAACACGGTGTTCACAACTGCATATGGTTGGGTCCTTCGCGAAACTATTTGTTTGACAGCCCAGGCGAGCCCACCAGCCCTGTAATTTTGGGCGTGGAAGCCTCTCTTTTCTACTGATTGGTGCTGTTTCCATGTCGACCGCCCCGGGATGTCGAGGGCGGGTGCTGCAGTTGTGGAGATGTGCCAAGACGGAAGTTGTAAGAGGGATGCCAAAGCCCATCGTTGTCGACGGTTCTAGTCCGTTCTTTGGTGGGAGCCGCCCACACATGGCTCTGGGGGGAGCAGTTATTGCTCGGGAGACCCATTGCCAATTATCTTGGTGGTGGGGCCTGGCTCACCTTTAGGAAGACGAAGGCCCACAAGGCCTTGCTGGAAAGAGTGGGCCACAAGGCTGTGGACTGGCGGGCACAAACAAAAGCTGGAAGGCTGTGGACTGGTTGGCCAAGCCCGGGGCCCAACTGCATGATTTGCCTCCTCTCGAGCTTTCTGAATCTGTGCAGGACGAGTGTGAGCATCACGCTTTAGTTCTTGGGGCCCTCAATATATTGAAAGTATTCCCGTCCTGCGACATGCAGCTCGAAAAACCTTCCAAGCTAAAGAGGGCCAAAATGCCCCGCCCGTCTGGACGCCACCATTTGTCTGTGCCGCATGGGAATGTCTCAAGGCGCCAGCACTGTTTAAGAGTTGCGTCCACCGAGGCTCAGACGAAACGTGTATCCCCGAATCCCTCTCTCCTGGCCCTTCTCAAGGGCGACGGGAGGGGGGAGGGGCTGGGCACAAGTTCCGTCCCCAGACATGCGACGTCTTGATTTTTTCAGGACGGCGTCCCCGGAAGTCCCTTTCCCCGGGGCTGGTTTTCATCCTGAATCGTTTTTTGAAGGTCCCGAGGCCAGGCGCGAGCCCCCCGAGTCCAGAATTGGCTAACAACCTCTCGTCCTCATTTTTTCACGACGCGATCATGTCTGGGTCCGCTGTGCGAGGATCATCCCTTCACCATCCACCTCAAATATTCCATCATTTGTTTGTGCTGTATTGGGAGAGTTTGTTAGTCGCCGGACCGGCAAGCTGCCCCTCGACCCGTGCCAGCACCCCAAGAAGAGAACGCTGAGAGGGCCAGGCCCCTCAAGGGCTTGCTGCCAAGGACACTCCATCGACTGTGCCAAACATTTTCCCTCTGTGCCCATCTTACGTCTCCCCTCTGCCTCCCTCCTCTTCCTCTGCCCCGTCCTGCATATGTCCAACGGCTGGATGATTTATTATCTTGTTTTTGTTGTTGTTGTTGAGCTCCCATTTCTGAAAATAATTATTGTTGGTCCCCCCATCACGGGTGCATGCTGTTTTGTCTCAATCAAAGTGTGCCCCTCGATGCTCGCACCCTGTTTTTTGTTGGGGAAAATCTTGGTGCTCAAACTGGGCCCCTGGCCCCCCGGATTGCAACACCAACGGCTCCCGCCTGAGACTTCCTCCAAATTTACTCAGGATTCCCGCTCCTGAGATTTCCTTACAATTTACTCAGGATCGGTGCTCCCGCCTGTGACTTCCTCGCAATTTAGTCAGGACCCCCGCTCCCACCTGAGACTTCCTCACAATTTACTCAGGAACGGCGCTCGCGCTTGAGACCTCCTCGCAATTGAATCAAGACTTCCTCGCAATTTAATATGGACCCCCGCTCCCGCCAGAGCACCCTTCACATTTAAGTCAGGAATTGCGCTCTCGCTTGTGACTTCCACGCGATTCATTCAGAGATCGTGCTTTCGACGCTCAGGAAACATGCTGCGCCAAGGACGCCGTTGCAATTCACTTAGTGATCGCGCTCTCGCCATACTCAAGAATACCGCTTGACTGTCCCACCCGCCCGACCCGCCCGTCAGGGGATCGCCCGCCCGTCGTGGGCTCCCGCCCGAGACTTCCTTCAGGAACGGCGCTTTCGCCTAGGACTTCCTCGAACGTTCACGCTCTTACCTTCCTGCTCCTCCTCCCTCTCTCTCCTCCCTCCTCCCTCATCTCCTTCCTTCTCTCTCCCTCCTCTCTTCCCTCATCCTTAAGCCTCTCTGCCCTATCCCCTCTCCCTCCTCTCCCTCCTCCTTTCTCCCTCCCCTCTCCTGCCTCCTCCCTCCCTTTTTTTTTTCTCTCTCTCTCTCTCTCTCTCCCCTCTCTCCCTCTCTCTTTCTCTACCTTTTTTATATGCCTTTCTCTCTCTCTCTCTCTCTGCCTCTAATCAGCCGCCCCCTCTTCGCTCCTTCTCTCCTGGCGTTTTCCCTCTTCCTTCGTCACTCCCCCTCCATTCCTCCCACTCTCCCTCGTTCTCCCCCTCCTCTTTTTTGCAGGGCCCACACAATTCCAACGGCGGGCACATGTACGCCCACGAAGGATTGTCCGCCCGTTCAGGTTTGCCCGCCTGTCTAAGCCCGCCGCCCCCCCGCAAAGAGAATGAATCCCCCCAAATGGGGGGTGTGAGCGAAGACGAAAAGGGCGGGTATCGAGGGTTTGGGGACCTCGTTTTGAATGACACGCGGGCAAGTAAGAGCGAACACTCTTATAATGATTGTTGTTGAACATTATTAATTCTAAAGAATAATTATTGTTGGGACCCCTGGTGCACGGCCCCCCTGCGCCGCCTAGGCCGCAGCTACATTTTCATCATTTTCGTGAGGAAGCCTCAGGTAATACGATGTCATCAAGATCCGGTTGTTTTGTTGTAATCCGTTTTCCCTTGCAAAAAACACTATAAAATGACATTTCTTGTTCTAATATAATCAAATTTCAAGAATCCCTTGCAAAAAATAAGGTAAAGTGGACATTCGCGCGCGCAAGACGAAATCCTTCCAAAAGCTTAGTGTTCGGAAGCGATTTTAACATAAAAACATCAAAAAACCAATGGTTTTTCAACAAAAAAATGTCAAAATCTCATCCCGCGCGCTCTTGCGGATTCGTAGGAAACCCAACACTTTTTAAACATTTCTGTCAAACGGGCTTTTGCGAGCAACTTTTTCGAACTTCTGCGACAACGGTTGCGCACCTGCCAGGGCCATCATCCCTGTCAAATAATACCATGCGGGACACATTCGTTTTTTCTTCGCGCGCGCACGCCGAAATCTCCAAAAACCATTGGGTTCTTAAGAATTTTAGCACCGCGCATCATAAAATCACACGAATCGCACCGTAGGTCCTCGAAAAACACCTGCACGACTTTTCAAAATTTCCACCCGCGCGCAGATGTCATATGCAACAGATGTTCTGTGGAAGGCTTAACAACTTCTGTGGGTTAACAAGGCTTAACAACTTCTGTGGGTGTACGAACGTAGGCTTAACAACTTCTGTGGGTGTGTACTCCACGCCAGTGTAGTAGCCACGGTCGTCCGCAGGCCACGAAGTGAAGTGTCCGAACGTCATAGGGCGGGAAGCTGGGTGTGGGTGGTGGCGAAGAGTCGTGTGGATATTTGGTAGAGCTTGCACTGCCCCCCCACAAAGTGGGGGTATTGGCTGGCGTCGCATGAAAACCCTGGCACTGGTGAGAACACTGAGCGTTCGGGTAAAGTGATTGTTGTTGTTGTTGCTGTTGCTGTTGCTGTAGTAGTAGTAGTAGTAGTAGTAGTAGTAGTAGTAGTAGTAGTAGTAGTAGTAGCAGTAGCAGTAGCAGTAGCAGTAGCAGTAGCAGTAGCAGTAGTAGTAGTAGTAGTAGTAGTAGTAGTAGTAGTAGTAGTAGTAGTAGTAGTTGTTGTTGTTGTTCTTGTTTAACACTCATATCTAAAGAAAAATGTTGCTGATCTCCGGAAACGGTTCCTTACGCTCTCGCCTCGACGCCGATTACATTTCTCTGAACATGAGGCTTCCGCTCGAGCGTTGGCTTGACCCTAAATGTGCGCCCTTGGAGGCCCAGCTACGACAACAACGGCTCCTGCTCGATACTTCCTCACAATTAACCCCGAGACACCCTGGCCAGAGACGCCCCCAAACTCAGGAACGGCGCTCGCGCTCGAGATTTCCTCGCAATTCAACTAAGTTGGCGGAGGCCCAGCCACGACGACAAGAGCTCCTGCGCGACACTTCCTTACGATTTACTCCGAGAGACCCTGGCCAAGAAGGCCCCCGAACTCAGGAACGACGCTCTCGTTCGAGACTTCCCCGTAACTCAAGCAAGTTGGTGGAGGCCCGGACACGGCGACAAGGGCTCCCGTTCGATACTTCTCCATCGATTTTCCGAGAGCCCCTGGCAAGAAAGGCCCCCGAAGTCAGGAACGGCGCTCTCGCTCGAGTTCTCTTCGCACTTCAATCAGTGGCCGGCAAGGCAGAGATTCCCCCCTGAAAGGGGGTGCAATCGAAGACGAAGTGGGCGTGTATCGAGGGTTGGGGTATACGGAATGCAAGACACGCGTGCCAGCAAGAGCGAACAGTCTTGAAATGATTGTTATGTTGTTGTTGTTGTTGTTGTTGTTGTTGTTGTTGTTGTTGTTGTTGTTGTTGTGGTTGTGCGTCGGCTGCGCCTAGCGTGAGCTGGCGCACCTGGAATCCGCTGGGTTCCGCGTGGATGTTGGGGTGCTTGGCTTGGCTCCCCTCTCAGGCCTGCCCCAGAAGAGCGCATGACGCTGCTGCGGCCAGTCGAGTCTCACAGACGTGCGGGCAGCACTGACTCCTTTGCTGCTCCTCCTCCTCCTCCTCCTCCTCCTCCTCCTCCTCCTCGCCTCCTCCTCCTCCTCCTCCTCGTCTACCTCCGCCCTTCTACGCGGACGACCGCCCTCTGGCCATGGCTCCTCTTGCTATTCGGCACGTGCCCTCTGAACCCGCGCTCCTCCTCCTCCTCCTCCTCCTCCTCCTCCTCGCCTCCTCCTCCTCCTCCTCCTCGTCTACCTCCGCCCTTCTGACGACCGCCCTCTGGCCATGGCTCCTCCTATTCGGCACGTGCCCTCTGAAACTCCTCCTCGTCTACCTCCGCCCTTCTACACGGACGACCGCCCTCTGGCCATGGCTCCTCTTGCTATTCACGTGCCCTCTGAACCCGCGCCTCCTCCTCCTCCTCCTCTCCTCCTCCTCCTCCTCCTCCTCGCCCTCCTCCTCCTCCTCCTCCTCCTCCTCGTCTACCTCCGCCCTTCTACACGGACGACCGCCCTCTGGCCATGGCTCTCTTGCTATTCGGCACGTGCCCTCTGGACCCGCGCTCCTCTCCTCCTCCTCCTCCTCCTCCTCCTCCTCCTCCTCCTCCTCCTCCTCCTCCTCCTCCTCCTCTCGCCTCCCACTCGATCCCATTCCCCACCCCCCGTTGGCGGGACCACTCTGTCGAGCCGTGATCCGTCCGCCCCGTGCCTCATGTTCCCTCTCTTCCTTCGGCTCCCTTGCTTGTGCACCCACCCCCGACCAAATCTTCACGGGCTGGACCCACCCGCCACCGTTATGCGGAGGCCTCCTACGTCAGCTTCGAGCGGCGTGATGCCGACTATGCTGAGCAGAAGGAGCTGCTCCACCTCTCTGCCCTCGTCTCGGCTGCCCCCTTCCGTGGCGGCCCGCAGGAGATGGAAGAGTGCGTGGGCAGGTTCCAGCAATGACGGGTCCGCTCGGTTTTGGCTGCGCCGCCCACATGCTCCTGGCGCTGGGCGCGCAGGGGAGCCTTCTCTGTCGAGCACTGCACCGTCGGGGGTCGGGAGACACGGTGGAGCCAGCCCACAAGTTGTCCGGGGCCAGGGTCGGGGCCTCAGAGCGGGTGTGGAGCTGTTCGTACTCTGTTGGACACACCGCGCCCCGTGTGTGCTTTTTCTCCGTGCCCCCGCTCCCGAAGGAAGGGATCACGCCAGCCGTGTTAGCTTACCAGAGCTTCAGTCCATGTTGGGGCTCCCTGGGGAGAAGTCCTTCGTGTCGTGCATCTCTGGCTTCCCCCATCTGCCCCCCACGGCTGTTACGGACGTCCCTGGGTTGCCTCGTTTGCGGCCGCGTGGTATCTGTGCTTGCCGTTGCCATCTCTCGTGCTCCCACTCTTCCCCCGCCCCGTCGATCGAGGGCCGTGCCACCATCGCCCTCTGCGAGCTCTTGACAGAAGCGCTTGGGAGCGATGAGCCTGGCTGAGAAGTTGGTCTGGTCAGTGCGGGCCTGTCTGTGTCTCCGCCTTCCTCCCCCCCCTCCTGCATGTGGACGCTCGTCGTGGGGAGTTGTCGTGTCTTCGCCTATTCTCTCTATTATTCAAGCATGGGGTTCGAACTGCTTGGCCCTCAGGCGAGCGAGCGGGCAAGCGAAGCGGAGGATGACCACTGGAAGGCGGAGGAGCAAAACGGAAGGAAACGGCGAAGACGAGTCAGCAACTGGACCCCGAAGTGTGACACACGCTGGGGCCAGAGCGCCGTTCTGACAGACGGGGGCGAAGCACCGATTCTCTGAAATGTAGCCAACGCTGCAGCGGGAACACCATTTGCAAGTGCCGACTACATAGCGATGTCGCTCCTGTCACTGTTTTTGCTATATATATATATATATATATATAAAAATATAAATGTGTAGATACAACGATGTATCTGCCACCGTACCTTCGGGCATGAAAGGGTGTTACCTCAGGTCCCTTGTTCTGGTCTTGAGTATTCTGGATGGAAGGTTCTTGCAATAAAGGACCTGGACCCCAAGGGTCCAAATCTCCTGCGGCCCAGGTCGGGTCGTCGCATGTTTCTCTCCGGTGCCTACATAGAAGTTCTGCCCCCCCCTACCCCGAACCCTCCTCCGCGCCGTCGAATTTGGTATTTGGGTCACAATTCGGGTCTCTGGCGGCCGTTCCGGACGATCCGGGCACCCCGGGAACGCCCTCGGCGAGGCGCAGCTGCTGGCAAGCATCCCGGGTCTGGGAAACCGCCGAGGACCGACGAACATGCTCGAGAACCTTGAACCGCAAACCCGAAACTTCCCCGCCTCCCCCCCCCCGATGGTCGACCTCGAAGGACGACGTCGGACGTCTCCGAGGGCCTTCGTCGGCGACGCCGGGCGGCGGTCGTCGCGGCCGACGATCGCGGCGAGCGCCGCCTCGAGCGGCGTGGTGCCCGCTCGCCGGCGCGCGAGGTCGCCTGGCTGCAGGCGGCTCGAGCTGTGGCGATCGCGACGCGCCGGCGGCGTCGCCGCGCGACTGCACAACCGTGCCCGACCGACGCCCCAAAAGACCTCACCGCACGCTCCTTCCGTGCAGCGACCGATGAACATGCTCAGGCTCGGGAGTTCAAGCGCTCTCCATGATGCAAGGGTGCAACGGTGAGGCGATCCCTATGGAATCCTAACAGATCCTCATCCGTAGGAATCCGTGGAAGAATGCCAAATGCAGCCTTCGGAAGCTGCCAGCAAGACCACGCACCATCTGAATGCACAACACTGCAATGAGTACGAGTGGGCCTAACTCGACGTGGCAGTGGGCATGAGTGGGTTCCCATCGTACTTCGGGACCACGTTCCATAAATGATTTCGAACACCCAAAGAAGTATCAAAAGACTGTCTGCCCGACGCGCTGCCCAAGTGCCGGGTGAGTATCGCTTCCCAGGGCCCGACATCTGAAAACCCTCCAGCTTTGGTGCTCTCTCTTGGTGCGCGAAATTATCCCTGGCTATCGAGGCTGAAGTAGGTTGGAAAATCATGAGCCCAAAAATGCTCGCGTCGTGCAAACATTTCTGTTCCGTCGCGGCGCGGCCGAGGCGATCCGCAAGCGCGTCCTCGTGAGCTGGGTTATTGCACGGACTAGATGTCCAGCGGCAACAGTGTGGAACGAGGCGGGGCGCGGCCGCGGAGGACTGAAGAGGAGGGGGGGCACTCACAGCACGAGGAGTTTCGACTGGAGTGGCTGGGGCGGCCAACTTGTACTGGTCGTTCAAAAATCACGATCGGAAGTTTTGGGCCGTTTGCGGTCTCCAGGGGCCCTCGCAGGGCCTTGGGGCCGTCAGAGAACGCCCAAGGAGGAACAGCCGGTCTCGGGAAATGGGTCGAGACCTCGGGGGGGGGGCCGTATTGAAAAAGTCAAGACGTCGCATGGCTGGGAGGGGGTGTCCCCTGTCGTCCGGGCGTTGTAGTTTCCCTAATGGTGTTCCGCTGGAAGGTTCTCGTGGTTCTCCTGCATCCTCGGGGGACATTGTCTGTCCCGTCGCAGCCCTATCCGCGTCGAATCCGTGTCGAGTCCAAGTCATCCTCGCCAGATCCGTGTCGGATCCGCGTCGAATCCACTCCAAATCCGCATCGAGTCCGCATCGAGCCCGCGCCGGGCATCAGAAAAGACACCAATTTTAGGGACAGGCGGGGTCCCCCAAAGATGCATTGGGGGGAGGGACGGGGAGCCCGGGACCGCTTGGTCCAGCATGGGTCCGGCGGCGCTTTGGCCCAAGGCTTCCTCACGACTTACTCAAACATCGTGCTCCCGCCTCGATGGCGTTGCTTAGTGGACCTAAACGCTCAAGAAATAATTTCCTGGGGGGATGATGAAAAACAAGTTTCGCCGGCCCCTGTGGCCCTCGTAACAGCGGGCCAAAGAGTTTGGCCCCCGGGCCGTCTGGGAGGCCAAGGGTGACGTGAGGAATGACTATTCGGAGCGGCGGGGGGGGGCTATTCGAACTGGTCGAAGGCACCCCATGCCCAATAGCTCGGGCCTCTTGCAGTCCTGGGGGGATGAAGGCCGATGGGCGGTGACGACAACGAAGACGATGGCGGACTGTGGATGGCATAACAGGGGGGGGGCCTGCGCGTGCGTCCTGCAGTTCTGGGGCGACGGCGGACGACGACGACGGAGACGGATTGCGGATGCGGGAAAAGAGGGCGGGGTGCTGCGTGGCCGTCCTGCGGCCCCGAAGCACGAGTTAACGACGACGACGACGGCCCGTTGCAGATGGTGCTGCGAAGGCGTCTTGCAATCCCGTGGGACGACGTCGACGATCAGCGGCGACGACGACGACGTCGGCCCTGTTCGGATTTTGCGGGTGGCTTGTAGGGAGGGGGGGGGGTCTGGGGGGGACTACGGAGGCGGCTTGCAGTCCCGTGGGGCGAAGACGACGACGGCGACGACGACGACGACGACGACGACGACGACGGCCCTTCCTTTGCGGATGGCGTGTTGGGCGTGGGTGGGGAAGGGGGGGTGCGCAGGCGGCTTGCGGTCCCTGTGGGCGACGACGACGACGACGGCCCTTTGCAGATTGGCATGTAGGTGTGTGTCTATGTGTGTGTGTATGTCCGCCTCCTCCTTCCTCCTCGCCGCCCCCGCCGCTCGCCGGCGCCTGCCCGCTGCCCCGTTGCCCTGGCGCCGCTCTCGGCCACTGCCCCGTGAGGGGTCGGCCGCCTCGCCTTTCCTTGCTTCTCTATCTTTACTTTTCTTCGTGACTGCTGCGCGCTCGGCCAGTCGCGCGCCCAACGGTGTGTGGCGAACCGCGCACCCGCAACGCTCGAAAGTGTGTGTGTGTGTGCTCCGTAAGCGTCTTGCAGTTCCGGGCGGCGACGACGACGACAACGGACGACAGCAGCGACGACGGCCCTTTGCGGATGGCATCTAGTGTGTGTGTGTGTGTGTGCTGCACGGGCGTCCTGCTGCCCTGGGGCGACGACCGGCGACGACAACGACGAACGGCGACGACGCCGACGACGAGAGGACGACAACGACGACGACGACGGGATGACGACCGACGGGATGACGACGGCCAAAGCGACGTCCAACAAATCGGGGGTGAACGATTGAGAAAAACAATCTCGGCCCCCCAATTTGTGTTCGTCCGCCCTGCGCAATAGGAAGAGGCGGCCGGCCCCCGGGGGGGGACATTGTTAGTTAAGGGGGCGGATGAGGCGGGCGAAGAACCGTGCACCTTTCGTACCTCTGCTGGGCCGCAGGGAGCCCCTGAGGTGTACGAAAGGTGCACCGCTCTCCCCTCCCATCCATCGCGCCCATCACGCAACGCCCGAAGAGGAGGGGGCGTCCCCTGAGACCCGCGCGTTGCAATTTTTGTTCGCATCGGGCGTTCTCGCTGGGTTTCGGGCCACGGGGCCATCACAGATCGATGTGGCTCGATCCGGGTTTCGTGCCCCAGGTCCCAGCTCTGATTCCATAGTCGCGTTTCGCTAAGGAGGGCTCTCATGAGCAAACCGGGCCACCGAGAAGTCGCACCAGGGGACGGGGCGCCCGAGACCGCCCCGTCCAGGCGGCGGTTGCGCCTGAGACTTCCTCACATTTTTCCCAACCGTCCTGTGGTGTTGGGTCGTTGTGTTGAAGAGACAGTGCCCCGCGTCTCCTCTCCTCTTCTCCTCCTTCTCCTCCTCCCGTCCCTTCATCCCTTGCCTCTGCTCTCCGCGATTCTACCATTTCGGCACCCCTCACGAGGATCGTGGCCCCGTAAGAAGTTCCACCGAAGGCCCCAGTGGCACAGGCCGCATGCGCACGACGCCCATTTTGGCACACCCATGACACGGTTCGTGGCTCTATAAGGAGCTCCACCGACGGCCCCAGTGGCACAGGCCGCATGCGCCCGCCTCCATTTTGGCACACCTATGACACGGCTCGTAGCCCCATCTGGAGCTCCACCGAAGGACCCAACTATGGGGCCAGGAACCGTGTGAGCGGTGTGCCAAAACGGAAGCGGGCGCATGCGGCATGGGGATCTCCACCGAAGACCCCAGTGGCACAGGCCGCAGGCGCCCGACGCCCACTTTGGCAGACCCGTCAAACGGTTCGTGGCCCATAGGGAGCTCCACCGAAGGCCCCAGTGGCACAGGCCGCATGCGCACGCCTCCATTTTGGCACACCCATGACACGGTTCGTGGCCCCATCTGTAGTTCCAGACAAGGCCCCAGTGGCACAGGCCGCATGCGCCCGACGCCAATTTTGGCACACCCCTCACACGGTTCGTTGTCCAAAAGGGAGCTCCGCCGAAGGCCCCAGTGGCACAGGCCGCATGCGCCCGACGCCCATTTTGGCACACTCCTCACACGGTTCGTGGCCTCATAGGGAGCTCCACCGAAAGCGGTACCGACAACGCGGTATTCACAACTGCGTATGGTTGGGTTCTTGGCCAGGATAAGGTTCAAACTTGTGGTCTCGCCTGGATGCAATATTCTTTTGATCCGCGGTTGAAAACACTAAGGTGATCATTGCCGTGCTCTTACACCTGTCTTCAACTCGCCTCTTCACGCTTGCTGCTATTAGAGTGCTTTGCTGTGGCATGACTATTGACACTGGGCGTTTTGGCCTGGTCGCGGGTCTCAGGACTTTAACATCGGGAATGCAAAATGAAGACAAGATCAAGGGTTCTGGTCGTGATGCCTCGCATCGCTCCTCATTAGCTAATAGCATGTCGCCGAAGGGTTCTATTATACATAGACGGAGTCCCATAACGGGGACGGGAAGCCCGAGGACGTTTGGTGCGGCAACCGGTCTGGCGGCGGCTTGACTTGAGACGCCCTCCTCCTTTGATCAGGAGCCGTGCTTTCGCCCACAGTCCGGCTGCATGCTCGATCCAGACGGCCACGACCCCTTGGCAAAAGCATGCGCTGAGGTGCACATGGCCCTGCGCTCCCACCCCTGCCCCGCCACGCTCTCGCCAGCCGACCTCCTTCGGGAGCGGCCAAGAGGGGGGTGTCCAAGAAGGGGGGGGTGCAAATCATGACCGGCGGCATGTGCGGGGCCCAGCGGGGGGGCCAGGGACGTAATGAAACAGGAAGAGGCGCCATGAAATCTGGGGAAATATCACGGCCCACGCCATGATATCCCCCCCCTAATCATCACCCCCCTCTTTTCCGCCCCCGACTCCTGCTCCTCGCCGTGCCTCGTCGGCTCTCCTGCCGTGGGGGGCGCTCCGCCGGGGCACCTTCTCCACGCTGGGCGCCGTCGCCCCGCGTCGGTCCCCGGGGCCATCACGGCTCGATCCGACTCGACAGGTGCAGCAGGACCCTGGTCTCAGGTCGGGCGTGTCCCCCATACAAGCAGATTCTTGAGGAAAAATGACGAATACCCCCAAAAACATTCACAAATAGCCAAAAAATGGTCAACAAAAACACCCCCTGACTATGTTTGGCTATTTTTGACTATTCCTCCTGTAGGGGGACAAGCCCGACTTCACCCTGGCCGTGACTTCTCGTGATGTTGCAGACGTTACCTGCGGCGTCGGATCTCAGCGTCGGGAGCCGTCGGAGGGCATCGGATGGTCGTCGGGGGCAACGGAGAGCCGTCACGGGGAGCGCCGGAGGGCCGTCGGGGGCCGCCGGAGGGCCATCGGGCTACCGTCGGGGGGCGGACGGCGTCGGGGGCGCCAGGGGATCGAAGGTCGAGGCTCGAGGATCCGGTCAGTGGTAACTGCTCCCGTTCACCCCGCCGCCTCCACGACCAGAATCGGGTCGGGCGAAAGGGGGGGATAGCAAAGGGGGGGTTTGAGAATCAGCTCCCGTAGCTGATTTTCCCGGCGCCTCCCGGCGCCGGAGGCGGCTATGTATCGAGGAATGGGCCCCTCGGTGAGGCCGAAACCAGCTGCATGCAGCAAATTTCGTACCCCCCCCTTTCCCAATCCCCCCCTTTCGCCCGACCCGACAGAATCCATTCCTGTCCACCGCCTCCCCGATATTCCCGAGTGCTGAACACACAGCTCTCCAGGCCTACAGGACCGGCGGAGCGGCACGCGAAGCAAAAGTTCCCGATCATACACGAGGCGCTTCCCAGGAGGAGGAGGAGGAGGGGGAGGAGGAGGAGGAGGAGGAGGAGGAGGAGGAGGAGGAGGAGGAGGAGGAGGAGGAGGAGGAGGATAAGCAAAACCAGGAGGCAGCTCGAGGGGAGGGAGCCCCCTGCTTCTCACGAAGAGGCTGATCGCCCGCTCCCGCCCCTGCGCTCGGTCGCGACTGCGTCTGGGCGATGCGGCTTGGGATGCGCGGTGCGCAGTGCCGCGCTTGTGCCGCGCGCGCGCCCAGCCGGCCACGCAGTGCCGCGTGGCCTGCCTCCTCCTCCTCCTCCTCCTCCTCCTCCTCCTCCCTCCTCCCTCCCTCCCTCCTCCCTACTCCTCCCTCCTCTTCCTTCTCCTTCCTCCTCCTCCTCCTCCTCCTCCTCTCCTCCTCCTCCTCCTCCTCCTCCTCCTCCTCCTCCTCCTCCTCCAATTTGCGTTAGACGAACCTTAGCAAGCAAGATGCTGTGGCGTTGAAACCTCCTCCTCCTCCTTCTCCTCCTCCCCCTCGTCTTGGCGTCGCGGGCGGCTGATGGTCCCTGGGCGGAGCACGAGGCCAACACCTTCCCCTGATGCCATGAAACGAGTCGAAGCGCAAGCTCGTGACGCCCTCTGACCACCGCGTGCAGCACGACGATGAGGTAGAGCACGTGCAAATCCGCTTCCTCCTCTTCTTCTTCCTCCTCCACCTCCTCCTCCTTCTGCTCCTGTAGCTGTGCATCGGAGGCCCTGGGACGATGCCATCCCTTCTGCATCTTACACTCCTCCTCTTTCTCCTCCTCCTCCTCCTCCTCCCTCTTCCTCCTCCTCCTCCTCCTCCTTATCCTCCTCCTCTTCTTTCTCTTTCTCTTTCTCCTCCTCCTCCTCCTCCTCCTCCACAAATTACACCATGTGAGTACTACTGGTGACGTCCGGGGAATATTCGCCCCCCCCTCCGCGTACTGTTTTTCGTGTACACATCGCTGGCTTGTTTTCAGAATGCTGCTCTCACTAAAACGCTGACCTCATTTTCGGAGTACTGCTCGTTCCGAGTCGTGCTCCCGCTCCATCGCTGGACTCATTTCCGCGCTTCCGCTCGTTCCGAATCGTGCTCCCGCTGCAGCGCTGGCATATGCCACGGCATGGTTTTCGGTCCTTGCAAATCGACCCCCAAATCTAGAAAATGCCCCCTGGAAAAAACCATCGGAAGTGATTCCACATTCGGTGTCGATTCGTTGATGTTTTGGGCCGCTGAAGCCCCCCCCCAGCTTTGAGGCGTCGCCACGCCATGCTATGTCAAGCTACGCGTCCTCCGAATCGAGCTCCCGCTGCAACGCTGGCCTCATTTCCGCGCTTCCGCTCGTTCCGAATCTTGCTCCCGCTACAGCGCTGGACTCATTTCCGCGCTTCCGCTCGTTCCGAATCGTGCTCCCGCTGCAGCGCTAGCGTCATTGTTTCTAGTGCCATGCCACGACATGGTTTTCGGTCCTTCCACGTACTCCGCACCATCTAGAACATGCCCGCCTCCGAACAAACACATCGGAAGTGATTCCACATTCGGTGTCGATTCGTTGATTTTTGGGGCCGCAGAAGCCCATCCCCCACTTTTGGGCGCCGCCGCGCCATGCTATGTCATGCTACTCGTTGCTTTTCAACACCATCCTGTGCCATGTGATACGATGCCCTGCTGCAGCATTCGACTGTGCGAATAAAGAGGAGATCCACGCCATGGTAAGGCATGGGAGGGAGGGGTAGGACACCAGATATGACCCGAGCGCACCTAGCTTGTCCTCCCTTCCTCCCCCATCCCCTTTGCCCCTCTCCTCCTCCAACCTCCCCCTTTCCCTCCCCCCACGTCCCCCGCTTCCTCCCCTGGGGGAGAAGGGTTGGCGAGGGACGGGAGAGATGGACGGTGAGGATGAGTAGCGAAACACGCGGGAGGAGTTTGGAGCGGACTGGACGCCAAGGGGGCTTGAGGGTAGATGGGGGCATGCCAGACGGAGAGGGGAGGCTCTGTGGTCTTGCCCCAGCCCGGGTCACCGACGCCCCCGCTGCTGGGCCGCCGACTCTCCAAGCCTCGGCGTGTGGTCCGCCCCGCTGCCTCGAGCCCGAGCGGGCGATCTCGATCGGAGAAGTCCACTGTATAACAACACACACAGGCAGGCAGGCAGGCAGGCAGACAGGCATACATACATACGGACATACACACGCACGTATAAACGTACACACATACATACATACATACATACATACATACATACATACATACATACATGCATACATACATGAACGCATGCATGCATGCATGCATACATACATACTACATACATGCATGCATACACTCGTACATACACATTTGGATGCATGTATCCACGCATGCTTACATGCCACACACATGCTTGCATGCATGCATACATGCACATCTGCACACATACATACATACATACATACATACATACATACAAACAAAGAAACAGAGAGACAGGCAGACAGAGAGACAGGCAGGCAGACAGGCAGACAGAGCGAACGCCAGACATACAGGCATACATAGACGCATACACATACATATATACTTATACATACACACATGCATACATGAAAACATAAACACATGCAAGCATGCCAGGCAGACACGCAGGAAGACTGGCAACCATACATACAAACATACATACATGCATACACATAGACATCCACACATTTATACACACATACAAACCTAACTACAAATATGCATAAACACATAGAGACAGACGGACATACCGACAGACCGACAGACAGACAGACAGACAGCCGGACCACCCGAGAATCATCCATACAGACATGCACACACATACATACATACACACGTACGAAGCTACCTACACATACATACATGCATGAACACATATACACATAGAGGCCAGCAGACAGACATGCAGACCGACAGATGGACAGATAGATAACCAGACATACATATATACATACATACATGCTTACATACATACATCCATGCACACACAGAGACGGCCAGGCGGGCCTACACGCAGACAAACATACATAGAGACATCCACACATACATGTATGCATAGATGCATAGAGACAGGCAGACAGACTGACAGCCAGACAGACAAACAGACAGTCAGACAGAGAGACCGATTCATACACATATGTATCACCTTACAAATACACACATACATGCAAACACACATACATGCACAATACACAAACACACATGCATATACATATATATATACACATATATATATATATATATATATATGCATACATACGTACACACATACAGGCGAAGTAACATACCGAGATACAGTGATACATACATACATCGACATACACACATGCATACATACAGCCAGACATACATACACACATGCTTAAATGCAACCCTACGTACATTTATACGCGTATACATGCGTACGCAGAGACACACAGACAGGTAGACAGACCGACAGGCAGACAGAGAGGCAGGCAGACATACATACATACTGACATGCATCCATAAGTACATGCACAATGATATACATACATGCATGCACACCTACACACATACACTCATGCCAAACCATAAACACATGCATACCTACTTACATACACACATCGAGACAGACAGAACGCCCGACAGGCAGACATACACACATCTTTACATACATCTATACATACGAACATGCGTATATACAGAAGACACACACACATACATACAAACACAAATATACACAGACAGACAGACAGACAGGCCGGCAAACATACATCCATGTAGACATACATACATACAGTCATACACACATTCATACATGCAAACATAGACATACACACATATACACGTACAAACAGCCGTACAACCATGCATGCATGCAAACACATATACGTAGCACCCCGCAGATGCGGATAAAAGTGAAGGGGCGGTGGGGACGTCGGCAGTCTGCGAGACTCTGGAGAAGCCCGCCGCAGGCTCACAAAATTATACAGCGAGCCCGCCGCAAAGGACGATTTCTTCTTCAAACCAATGTGGATAGGTCGCGGGTGGGTCACGGGTGGGTCGGGGGTGGGTCGCGGGGTGGGTCGCGGGGTGGGTCGCAGGTGGGTCGCAAGTGGGTCGCGGGTGGGTCGCGGGTCGCGGATGGGTCGCGGGGTGGGTCGCGGTTGGGTCGCGGGGTGGGTTGCGGGTGGGTCGCGGGTGGGTCGCGGGTGGGGCGCGGGGTGGGTCGCGGGTGGGTCGCGGGTTGGGTCGCGGGCGGGTCGCGGCGTGGGTCGCGGGGTGGGTCGCGGAGTGGGTCGCGGGGTGGGTCGCGGGTGGGTCGCAGGGGAGACGACGACAATAAACAACAAAAACAGCGCAACAAGCAGAATCCTCACCACGGATTCTCACTTCAGCCACGCACCCAGGGACAATGAATGACCGTTCGGCCCCCTCACTTTGACATATAAACGTTCATACCAGTACACATACATACATACATGCACACATCCATAGTGACAGACAGACAAAGAGGCAGACAAACATTCTACATTCAGACAGACAGGCACACGTATAACCATACACACATACAGACATACAAGCATACATACATACATGCATACTTCCACACGTACAATTGCAACATAGATGTGCACATTTATGCTTACATATGTACGTATGTATACGACAATTGATGTTTATGCCATGTGTTGATGTTCTACCTGATCTGTTCTGCCGCCCCATGCTGGCGACCCACACGGGGCGCGAGAACTCTGAACAGGGATTGGAACGCATTCCGCAAGCCGTTGCATATGGCCCTGCCTAGCCCATGGGCGGTGACCAAAAACCCGTCCGATATCCATCCTGGTGACATCATCAATGGGATGCGTCACGGAGCCTTGAGCAAGGAGCGGAGCGCCCCAAAGCTCGTGCAAGTATGAATGGTCCGCCGGCCCCCGCTTGCCGGGGCGACAACGCGTGTGTGATGTCTGGCTGTCTCCCGCCCCCTGGCTCTCCCTCCACGGTTGCAACATCTCGAAAGGGGGGGGACCCCCCCCACCCACGAGCTTGCTCACGCACCTTCTGGGCCGTCGGAGCCGCCCAAGTTGTCCTCCAAAACGCTCCAGAAGGGCTCCAACACGGCAAAGCAGGAGGTGGAGGAGAAGGAAGAGGAGGAGGAGGAGGAGGGGGGGAGGAGGAGGAGGAGGAGGAGGAGGAGGATGAAAAAAAAGAGGAGGAGCAGAGGAGAGAGGAGGAGGAGGGAGGGGGAGGGAGGAGGATGAGGAGGAGGAAGAGGAGGAGGATGGGGAGGGAGGAGGAGGGAAGAGGATGAGGAGGAGGAGAGGAGGATGAGGAGGAGAGGAGGAGGAGGAGGATGACAAGGAGGAGGATGAGGAGAGGAGGAGGAGAGGAGGAGGAGAGGAGGGGAGGAGGAGGGAAGGGAGGAGGATGAGGATGAGGAGGGAGGAGGGGGGGGAGGGGAGGAGGAGGAGGAAGAGGATGAGCAGCTAGGAGGAGAGGAGGAGGAGGAGGAGGAGGAGAGGAGGAGGAGGAGGGCAGGAGGAGGGAGGAAGGAGGAGGAGGAGGAAGAGGAGGAGGAGGAGGAGGAGGGAGGAGGAGGAGGAGGAGGAGGAGGAGGAGGAGGAGGTGGAGGAGCAGAAGGAGCAGCAGGAGGAGGAGGAGGAGAAGGGGGAAGAGGCGGCGCTGCCCCCCCCGATCGGGCCGGGCTGCGCCCCGGGCTGGCGCGGCCCGCAGCCGAGTCGGCGCGGAGGTCCACGCCGAGGCTGTTCCGGAGGGGCGCCTGTGGGGCCGGCCCCGGTCGGCTGCGCGCGAGGCCTGCCGATCGTGCAGAGGCGGTGCCATCCCAGAAGCGCTCGCGCGCCGTGAACAGAACTCAGGACGGAGCCTCTTGCGGCGCCGTCGCCCTCTGAAGGCCCAGGCCGGGCCGCAGGGCCGTCAAGAGACGACCCAGGAGGAAAAACTGGCCCCGGGGGAAAGGGTCGGGCCTTCCATGGGCACCGGCCCTCCGACTCTCCGACTGCCTCCGTCGCGTCGCTGCGCACGTGGCTGCGACGCCACACGGTGCATTCTGGTGCTGTGGTGCCTCAAGATGACGGGGAGTCGGTTCCGCGCCGTGCAGGGCTCCGAGCGAACAGCCGCTCTCTGAGCCACTCGGTGAGTGTGTGTATGTGTATGTATGTATGTGTTGTGCGTGTGTGTTGTGTGTTGTGTGTTGTGTGCTGTGTGTGTGTGTGTGTTTAGTGTGTGTGTGTGTTGTGTGTGTGTTGTGTGTGTGTGTGTGTTGTGTGTATGTGTATGTGTATGTGTATGTGTATGTGCATGTGTATGTGTATGTGTATGTGTATGTGTGCGTGCGTGTGTGTATGTGTGTGTATGTGTGTGTGTGTGTGTGTGTGTGTGTGTGTCTGGCCGGCCGCGCGCGTCTCTTCGCCCGACCCTGCTCCGCCGCGGCGCGGCGCACGTGGCCACGACGGCAAAAAAGCGTGCGTGTGCGTCTATACGTCTGTGTTTTGGGTGTTACAGTCAGGCCGTGCAGTGAGGATCGGGATCCACCAAATGGGGGGTGACCCAGAAGGGGCGCATGAATTCGATCCGCTGGTGCACCGAACTGCCGCAAACAGGTGCCCCCCGCATGCCCCACCCAAAGTTAATTAAGTATCGGGAGCTGCCGGCGGCTGGGGGGCATCTGCTTTGGGCAGTTCGGTGCAAAAACCGATCGAACTCACACACACACACCGCGGGGCCCCCCCACCCCCTTTGCGGGATCCCGAAAGGATGCGCGTTGAGGATGCAAGGGCCTTGGAGCCCATCTCGAAGCTTCTCGAGCGGGGCGCGGCAAAGACGAAAGTGGCCAAGGAGGGACCGAGAAGGCAAGGATGCATGGGGTACCCTTGGGAAGGTTGCCCATCCTTACTAGTGCGGGTTCTCTGCATTATCACGCCTATCGTGCACTTCACTGGAGCTGGATTTGGGTTGGCGGCGCGCGCAAGGGGGATGGGGGAGGGGGGAAGGTTTCTTAGAAGGAGGCTGCTTCTTAGAAGGTGCCGGCCCTGCATCTGTAGACACGGCCCGCGCCTTCTAAGAAGCAGGGGGGCTTCTAAGAAGCCTTCCCCCATCCCCCTCTACCCCTGAGACCCCCCCTCTGCGCGTGGCCGCTTGGGCTCTGCGGCGTGCCCCTGGGCTCTCGACTCCATGCGGAAGAGGCTGCCTTTCTGCGGGCCTCTGGGCCGGAAGCCGGCCCCCTGATACCCCAGACTCGTGAGGCACACTTCGTCCTCTGCCGCGGCGTCGGACCGTCTGGGTCGATCCATCCTCTGTCGCCAGACAGCCGGCGCGCTGGCAAGCAGAATACAGCCTCGGACCGAGATAAGATCGGGAATCTCTGAGGCCCAGCGGGTGTGGAGGGTGTATCGGGCGCCGCGGCCCGCCTGCCTGACATCAATCCCTGCAGCCCTCCGGGCTGTGCCCACCGTTGCCCACGATGGCACCCCCTAAGAGGCCAACGTAATCACAAAATGACGCCCCCGGCCTCCGGGTGCATCCGAAACCTCACCCGCCAGGAAAACATCAAGGGAACCGCCGAGAAGCCGAAGGAGGAGGAGGGGAGGAGGAGGAGGAGGAGGAGGAGGAGGAGGAGGAAGAGAACGAGGGACGAGGAATAGGAGGGGGAGGAGAAGCAAGGGCGAGGAGGAGGAGGAGGAGGAGGAGGAGGAGGAGGGAGGAGGAGGAGAAGGAGAATGAGGAGGAGAAGGAAGAGTAGGAAGAGGAGAAGGAGGAGGAAGAAGAGGGGAGGAGGAAGAATGGTGAGGGGGAAGGGACGGGGGGTAAGAGCGGAGCGGGGAGGAGGAAGGGCGAGGAAGGCGGGGAGGAGAGGGGGAAGGAGGAGGAGGAGGAGGAGGAGGAGGAGGAACAGGAGGAGGAGGAGCGAGGAGAAAGGGCGGGGCGAGGAGGAGGAAGGGCGAGGAGGAGGGACGAGCGGGGAGGGCGAGGAGGAGGAGGAGGAGGAAGGGCGGGGCGAGGAGAAGGCATGAGAAACGCGAGGTTGAGGAGGAGAAAGGTCGCCGCCGTCGTCGGAGGCCCCTCGACCACGCTCCTGGATCCTCGAGGACAACGACGGCGACCTGCGACGACGGACGACCGACAACGGCGGCCCAGACGCCGTTTTGACACGCCAAGGCTCCCGAGACGACGACGGCGACGGCGAGGACGACGACGAAGCCGAAGCCGGCGACGGCGAAGACGACGACGGCGACGGCGAGGACGATGACGGCGACGGCGAGGACGATGACGGCGACGGCGAGGACGATGACGGCGACGGCGAGGACGACGACGACGACGACGACGACGCAGACGGACTCTGTCCCTGTCCCCGCCGCCGTCGGCGGCCCCGCCTCCGCTGGCAACCGTCGATGTCGTCGTCGCCGCCGCCGTCGTCGTCGTCGTCGTCGTCTTCGTCTTCGTCGTTTCCGTCTTCCTCGCCGTCGCCGTCGTCGTCCTCGCCGTCGCCGTCGTCTTCGCCGTCGCCGTCTTCGTCGTCGTCCTCGCCGTCGCCGTCGTCGTCTCGGGAGCTTTGGCGTGTCCTTCTTCCGTCGTCCGGGCCGCCGTTGTCGGTCGTCCGTCGCCATCGCCGTCGTCGTGGGCGATCCCGCGCCCCCCGCGGAGGCGCACCTGCACGCTGCGCCTCGGCGGGGGGCCCAGGGGCGTGGCTGGTGGCTGCTGCTCCTCACGGGGTGGCGGCGACGAGACTTCGCTGGCGCCGTCGTTCCGTTGGGCCAGTCTGGGAGCATATTCCTCCTCTGGAAGCTCTCGCTTCGGCATGGCCAGGCACGGCTCGAACGACCGGCTAGGATGGGTGCCGGGAGGGGTCCGGGGACCGATGCTCCACAGACATGGAGGAGGTGAAGGAGGGCTCAAATCTCCAAGCTCCAACGTTGGCGAGGAGGAGGACGAGGAGGAGAAGGGGGAGAAGGAGGGGGAAGGATGGGCGCGGCGGCGGGGGGGAGGGGGGGAGGGCGGGGCGGCAGCGGGGGCGCGCTGCGGCGACGCTGGGCAGCGGCAGTCTTTCTGTTAAGAGGCTGGGTCTGTCTGCGGCGCCTGGTCAGGAGCGAACGCATCCGACGTCGTGATCCCCGAGCCAGCGGACTCTTCTCGACTTCGGCCACGGGAAGCCGTTCGGAGGCCCTGGGGCTGCCAACCATCGATCTGGAATGAGAAACTGCACCCAGGGAAGGGGTCGATACCTCTGGGACCGACGAAACAAAAAAACAATCCATCGGAACTCTGGGGAGGGATGTGGCCGATGCTTGAGCCGCCAGCTCTCTTTCTCTGGGTCCCACCGCCAACCAAAACGGCGGGCATAGATCGGGCCTAGCCTAGGGGAACCTTCCAGGAGTGCGCCACCCACGAGATGCGCCATGGGTTCCACCACCATCCACGGGTTCTGCCATTGGTTGCGCCAGAAGGTAGCGCTATGGTTTGCGCCATCCGTAGGTTACGCCAAGGGTTGCGCCGTCCGTGGGCTGCGCCATCGGTTGCGCCATGGGTAGTGCCATTGGTTGCGCCATCCGTTGGTTGACCAGGGACCGACTGTCCTGGCATTCCTATAGGCCTACCACGACATGTTCCTAGAGCCGAGCAATATTCTAAAAACGAAAGCAGCGTTCTTGATGTGTTAAAACAAACAAGCCTCAGCCAGAAATGTTCTACGAACATTTCGTGCAAACCACAACAGGTTCTCAGTACATCTTTTGTGGGCCTATAGGCCAGCCAGGACTGCTCGAGTTGCGTGCGGCATGGGTTGTGCACTCTGCGGCCCACCCTGAAGAGGCCTGCTGCTACTCGCGCCGCATGTTGCCCATTCTGCGCCCCAATCGAAAACGGCCTGCGTTCGGTGGCGCCGTAAACTGCGCACTCCGCGGCCTAAAACAAAACGGCCTGCCGCTGGTTGCATCATACGTTGCGCACTCCGCGGCCCAACACATAACAGCTTGCTGTTGGTTGCGCCATGAGCTGCGCACTCCACGGCCTCGAAAACAACGGCCTGCTATTGGTGGCGCCATCGGCTCCGCACTCAGCGTCCAAACATAAAAAGGCCGGCAGTTAATTACGCCACAGAATTCGCACTTCGCGGCCCAAAAAGCAGGGTCCTGCTATCAGTGGCCCCGTGAGGTGGGGCAATCGGCGAGTTGAAAATCAAGCGGCCTGCTAGCGGGCGCGACCAGCCAGCCACTCAGCCAATTAATTAGGTCAGCCAGTTCAATAAGTCAGTCAGTCAATCAATCAGTCAATTTACATCGCGTAAAACGTATTCAGGGCACACCCGAAAAGACTTGCAGTCCACACTCTCGTAGTTAAAACGTTTAGCGTTCAATTCTCTCCTGACGGGCGGATGGCCTCCGTTCGATTTGACGAAACCCCTTGAGGGCCTCCCTCAGTTGACAAGCCCCCTTGATGGTCTCCTTCCCAATTCAGTGATCCCTTGCGATCCCCCAGGCGAACCCCCACTGACGGCCTCCGTCCTTTAGAAAACTCGTGTCAACCTGTTCGCGAATCACGACGTCAAAGGAAACATTTTGGGTGCCAGAACCGTCAAAGTCTTCAAGACGAAACACTTCCGCGGGGAAAAAGGGTCGAGGGACCTTGGGGCTGGCCATTCGTAAACATTAGCCTGGCTAAGGACCCAACCATATGCAGTTGTGAGCGCCGCAGTTGTGAGTATCGTCTTCGGTGGAGCTTCCCATGGGGCCACGAAACGTGTGAGAGATGTGCCCAAATGAGGGTGGAACCGCATGCGAACCCTGCCAATGGAACCTTCGGTGGAGCTGCTTACGGGGCCACGAAACGTCTGAAGGTTGTACCGAAATGGGGGTGGAACCGCATGCGAACCTTGCCACTGGGGCCTTCGGTGGAGCTCCCTGTGGGGCCACGAAACCTGTGAGGGGTTGAGGAAATGGAAATGGAATCGCATGCGAACCCCGCCACTGAAGCCTTCGGTGGAGCTCCCTATGAACCCACCAAGCGTGTGAAGGGTGCGCCGGCATTAAGGGGTGGATCCGAATGCGAACCCTGCCTCTGGGGCCTTCGGTGGAACTCCCTATGGGGCCACGAAGCATGTGCGGGGTTTGCCGAAATTGACATGGAACCGCATGTGAATCCCGCCACTGAAGCCTTTGGGTGGAGCTTCCTATAGAACCACAAAACGTTTGAGGGGTGTGCCGACATTGGGGATGGAACCGCATGCGAGCCCTGCCACTGGGGCCTTAGCCCCACAAGGGTATGCCTAAAGGGGGGTGGAACCGCTTGCGAACCTTGCCACAAGGGCCTTCGGTGGAGCTCCCTATTGAGGCGTGTGATGGGTGTGCCGAAATAGAGGGTGGAACCGCATGCGAACCCTGCCACTGGGGCCTTCGGTGGAGCTCCCGATAGGGCCACGAAACTTGTGAGGGGAGTGCCGAAGTGGGTGTGAAACCGCATGCGAACCCTACCACTGGGGCCTTCGGTGGAGCTCCCCGTGGGGCCACCAATCGTGAGAGGGGTGCAAGGAATGCAAGGAGTGGGAGGTGGAGGAGGAGGAGAAGGAGGAGGAGGAGGAGGAGAAGGAGGAGGAGAGGAACGCGGGGCGCTGTCTGATCAAAACGAGGACCCAACACCACAGCATGGTTGGGGAAAAACACGACGTCGGGGTTTCTTGGAAGGACCCTGGGGCATCAGGAGACTCATCTCAGAAGGCGAGCTTCTTCCCAGAAGCCCCCCACCTTCTGAGAAGGTCGCGACCCCCACCTCACTCGGTGCCGCCCATGAGCGAGCG